GGACTCAGGATCGAGGTTTCTGGGCGTTTGGGGCGGCTGGAAACGTTCCAGGCAGAATTCGCATCACTGGCCAGCTGGTTGTCCTCCGTTCTTTCTCCCCCTCCTCCTCCTCCTCCTCCTCCTTCTCCTCCTGCCGCGCATGTGGTAAATCATGCGACTGCCGTCGTGACGCCGCTCTCGCAAAGCGGTGAGAATAGGCTGGCCGTGACTTCTTTCGCCCACGCGCCTCGGCGTATGGCATGAGTGAGTGAGTGAGTGAGTGGGGCAGCTGGATGTACCTCAAGCTCTGGTCAGATTCGGCGGCGAGTCCGGGGGGAAGTGACAATGGGCGGGCCTCCTCAGAAGGCTTGGAAGTTCCCCAGCCCTCTGAGAAGTGTTCTATAAGCTTTCCCCAAAGACAAACAAACGTATCAGAAGGGGCCAGATGACTTTTTAGAAGCCCCGCCTCCTTCTGAGAACGCTTGATTATTCTTCTTCTCATTTCCCCTCTCGCTCGCCGCTGACGGATAGCACCGCTGGACGGGTGTGGGCGTCGATGTCTGAGGCGTCGACGACGACGTCGTCGTGCGTCAGCAGGCCGCTGGGACACTCGCTCAGCTGGACGGTGCACAGCGTCCAGAGGTAAGTTCGCATTCGAGAAGTGATGTCGGGCTGACCTAGAACCAGGATGAATAGTTCCAGAGGAGTAGCAGGAGGAGCAGGAGGAGCAGGAGGAGCAGGAACAGGAGGAGGAGGGGGGGAGGAGGGGGAAGAGGAGGAGGGGGAGGGGAGGGAGGAGGAGGAGTAGTAGGAGGAGGAGGAGGAGGAGGAGGAGGAGGAGGAGGAGGAGATGGAGGAGGGCGAGGAGGAGGAGGAGGGAGGGAGGGAGGGAGGGAGACAGGCAGGGTACCGTCCTCAGTGATACCGTACTTGAGGTTCAAATCCGATTCAGTGGTACCGTCCTCGCTTGTTTTCATCCAGGGACGTCACCATTGTGCCATGAGGTCGCCAACGTGACCCTCTCTTCGTCTTCCTTGCAATCCAGCATGATCGTGTCATCGACACAGCGGATAGAGCAGTCCTCTCTCGGCGTAAGTTCACATGCACGTTTGTATGAGTCTGAGCAAGCAGCAACCAGCAACGATTTGCAGGTATGATTGTGCGCGGAGCGATCGTTGTGTTCCGAAAGGGGCCAGGCTGGATGCTTCACATTGCCTCAACCAGCAAAACGGCATTACCCCACTCAGGAACGCAGGTCCTGACCGCCAGCGAAGCGTTCGCCAATCTTTTGGTGTGTTCGCTGAAGCGTCGATCTCATGAGACGCCCACTGTTCGAAGCCGTGTTTCTGGTCTGACCGTCGCGCGCCACGTCCAGTTCAAGAGGTCCAAGGGGTTATGTTTGCACTGGCGATGGTAACAACCGTTTGCACACTACAGGTGCATAGGAATGTCCAGCGACCTTCGGCCCATTTCGCAGCCGCGCTTGTGTTGTGGGTGCAGGCGCGCTGGGAACGACGATAGACGGCCACAACGCGTTCCCCGTTCTGCTTTCCCTGGAAAGCCTGAAACATATGGGAATACTGCGTTCTTGGGGTATGGATTTCATGGGGGCCTTTGGGGGGGCCACTCGAGGAGGATCTCCAGGAGATGACTTTGGTCCCTCCTGTGAGCCTCCTGGGGCTTCTGGCAGGTCTCGTGAAGGCTCCTTAGGGCTCGTGGGGCAACTGTGTGTGGCAAGAGGGGCCGATTCCCATTGCGGACTCGCGATGGTCGCCATCTTTGGCGTCGTCACGACGCCGGTGCAGAAGCCATTTTGGCTCAAGAGTCTAGCAGCCAAGTTATCTGTGCACCTCGCCCATGGATCGCGCAGGGTGGCAGAGAAACCCTGCTACGGGTGCGCCGCATGGCGCGGAGTTCCTCGTCCTCCTCGTCCTCTAGCGGCGAACGGGGAAAGAAGGACAAAAAGAAAAAGGGCAAGAAGGAGAAGAAGGAGAAGAAGGACAAAAAGGACAAGAAGGGCAAGAAGGACAAGAAGGACAAAAAGGCCGCCAGCAAGGAGGCGCAGGCCAGGAGCAGGGCCGCTGCGTGGGAGTGCGACCGCGCCGAGGCGAAGCGCCTGGTGAAGTCGCTGCTGGAGCTGGACGCCGAGGTGGCCGAGGCAGGGCTCATTTCGATTCCTCCGATTCGATTCGATTTCGATGGCCTCCGATTCCGCTTAGATTCGACTTGGGATTCCGATTCGGGTTCCGATTTGTCATTGGAGGCCCACTAGCCTGCCGATTTCCGCCGATTCGACTTTTCCCCTTCGGCTGCCGATTTTTTCGCCGATCAGAATCACTTCGATTGCAGATCCGACCTGTCGATTCGATCCTGGGCCCTCCTGCCGAGGAGCTCGGGGCCGTCTTCGAGGGCCTCGACAGCGGCGCCCTGGTCCGCCTGGAGTGCGTGGCGGATAAGCAGGCCCGCAAGAAGCTGCGGCACCTCCTGCAGGCGCCCGGCGGCGCGCCAAGCTCAGGAGGGGAAAAACAAATAGACACAAGTAGTCGTCGATTCCCAGGAAAATATTCGGAAACATGTGGGAAGTGTGGGGGGGAAGACAGAAGAAAAAAACACATAACATATGGGAACATACGGGGAATCCTGGTATGTGTGTCTATGTATGTGTGTAGGTGTGTGTTGTGGGTTGTGGGTTGTGGGTTGTGTGTGTGTTGTGTGTGTTGTGTGGTGTGTGTTGTGTGTGATGTGTTGTTTGTTGTGTGTTGTGTGCGTTGTGTGCTGTGTGGTGTGTGTGTGTTGTGTGTTGTGTGGTTTGTGGTGTGTGGTGTGTGGTGTGTGTGGTGTGTTCTGTGTTCTATGTTCTGTGTCGTGTGTTGTGTGTGGTGTGTGGTGTGTGGTGTGTCGTGTGTCGTGTGTCGTGTGTGTGTGGTGTGTGTGTGTGGTGTGTGGTGTGTGGTGTGTTGTGTGTTGTGTGTGTGGTGTGTTGTGTGTGTCTTGTGTGTGGTGTGTGTGTTGTGTGTTGTGTGTTGCGTGTTGTGTGTTGTGTGTGTGTTGTGAAGTGTGTGTTGTGTGTTGTGTGTTGTGTGTGCAGTGTTGTGTGCGTTGTGTGTTGTGTGTGTGTTTAGTGTGTGTGGTGTGTGTGATGTGTGGTGTGTGGTGTGGGTTGTGGGTTGTGGGTTGTGTGTTGTGTGTGGTGTGTGGTGTGTGTGTGGTGTGTGGTGTGTGTTGTGTGTTGTGTGTTGTGTGTTGTGTGTGTGTGTGTTGTGTGTGTGGGTGTGTTGTGTGTTGTGTGTGGTGTGTGGTGGTGGTGTGGGTGCGTTGTGTGTGTATTGTATGTTGTGTGTTGTGTGTTGTGTGTGTGGTGTGTTGTGTGTTGTGTGTTTGTGTGCTGTGTGTTGTGGGTTGTGGGTTGTGTGTGGTGTGTGGTGTGTGGTGTGTGGTGTGTTGTGTGGTGTGTATTGTGTGTTGTGTGTGGTGTGTGGTGCGTGTTGTGTGTATTGTGTGTTGTGTGGTGTGTGGTGTGTGTGGTGTGTTGTGTTGTGTGTTGCGTGTTGTGTGCTGTGTGTTGTGTGTTGTGTGCTGTGTGTGAGGCGTGTGTTGTGTGTTGTGTGTGTGGTGTGTTGTGTGTGCTGTGTGCTGTGTGCTGTGTGTTGTGTGGGTTGTGGGTTGTGTGTTGTGTGTTGTGTGTTGTGTGCTGTGTGTTGTGTGTTGTGTGTTGTGTGTGGTGTGTGTGTGTGTTGTGTGTGTGTGCTGTGTGTGTGTTGTTCCCAACCATCCTGTGGTGTTGGGTCCTCGTTTTGAAGAGAGCGCACCGCGTCACCTCCTCCTCCCGCTGCCCCCTCCGCCTCTCCACTGTCCGCATGCGTCCCCCCACCCACCCAGCACAGCGTTTCGTAGCCCCATAGGGAGCTCCACCGAAGGCCCCAGTGCCACCGTCCACGTGCGCCCCCCCCACTCAGTGCAGCGCTTCGTGGCCCCATAGGGAGCTCCACCGAAGGCCCAGTGCCACCGTCCACATGCCTCCCCCCCACTCAGTACAGCGTTTCGTGGCCCCATAGGGAGCTCCACCGAAGGCCCCAGTGCCACCGTCCACATGCGCCCCCCCACACTCAGTACAGCGTTTCGTGGCCCCATAGGGAGCTCCACCGAAGGCCCCAGTGCCACCGTCCACATGCGTCCCCCCCCACTCAGTACAGCGCTTCGTGGCCCCATAGGGAGCTCCACCGAAGGCCCCAGTGCCACCGTCCACATGCGCCCCCCCCACTCCAGCGCTTCGTGGCCCCATGGGGAGCTCCACCGAAGGCCCCAGCGCCACGTCCCCATGCGCCCCCCCACTCAGTACAGCGTTTCGTGGGCCCATAGGGAGCCCCACCGAGGCCCCAGTTCCACCGTCCACATGCCCCCCCCCACACAGTACAGCGTTTCGTGGCCCATAGGGAGCTCCACCGAAGGCCCCAGTGCCACCGTCCACATGCGTCCCCCCCACTCAGTACAGCGTTTCGTGGCCCATAGGGAGCTCCACCGAAGGCCCCAGTGCCACCGTCCACATGCGTCCCCCACTCAGTACAGCGTTCGTGGCCCCATAGGGAGCTCCACCGAAGGCCCCAGTGCCACCGTCCACATGCGTCCCCCCCACTCAGTACAGCGTTTCGTGGCCCCATAGGGAGCTCCACCGAAGGCCCCAGTGCCACCGTCCACATGCGTCCCCCCCACTCAGTACAGCGCTTCGTGGCCCCATAGGGAGCTCCACCGAAGGTCACAGTCCTACCGTCCACATGCGTCCCCCCCACTCAGTACAGCGCTTCGTGGCCACATGGGGGGCTCCACCGAAGGCCCCAGTGCCACCGTCCACATGCGTCCCCCCCAGTCAGTACAGCGCTTCGTGGCCCCATAGGGAGCTCCACCGAAGGTCACAGTGCTACCGTCCACATGCGTCCCCCCCACTCAGTACAGCGCTTCGTGGCCACATAGGGAGCTCCACCGAAGCCCCCAGTGGGACTGTCCGCGTGCGTCCTGAAACACCCAATTTGGCATTCCACCCACCCGTTACAGCGTTTCTGGGCCCCACAGGGAGCTCCACCGAAGGCCCCAGTGCCACCGTCCGCATGCGCCCCGCACACCCACCAATGTGGCACGTTCACTAACCCAGTGCAGCGCTTCGTGGCCCCATAGGGAACTCCACCGAAGGCCCCAGTGGGACCGTCCGCAAGCGGCGCTTCGTGGCCCCATAATTAGGGAGTTTCACAGAAGAATATGTTCACAATTGCGGTACCCACAACTGCATATGGTTGGGTCCTTCGCCAGAAACAGATGTTGTGCGTGATGTGTGTGTGTGTGTCTTGTGTGTCTTGTGTGTTGTGTGTGTGTGTTGTGTGTGGTAATTGTGTGGTGTGTGCGGTGAGCGGTGTGTGTTGTGTGTGTTGTGTGTTGTATGTTGTGTGTGGTGTGTGGTGTGTGGTGTGCTGTGTGTGGTGTGCTGTGTGTGGTGTGTGGTGTGTCGTGTGTGTGTGTGGTGTGTGTGGTGTGTGGTGTGTGGTGTGTTGTGTGTTGTGTGTGTGTTGTGTGTGTCGTGTGTGTTGTTGTGTGTTGTGTGTTGTGTGTGTTGTGTGTGTTGTGTGTGTGTGTTGCGTGCGTGTGTGGTGCGTTGTCTGTGTTGCGTGTGTTGCGTGTCTTGTGTGTTGTGAGTTGTGAGTTGTGTGTTGTGTGTTGTGAGTTGTGTGTTGTGTGTTGTGTGTGTTGTGTGTGTTGTGTGTGTTGTGTGTTGTGTGTGTTGTGTGTGGTGTGTTTGGTGTGTGTGGTGTGTGTGGTGTGTGTGTGTGGTGTGGTGTGTGGTGTGTGGTGTGGTGTGTGTGGTGTGTTGTGTTTGTGTGTGTGGTGTGTTGTGTGTTGTGTGTGCTGTGTGTTGTGTGTTGTGTGTGTTGTGTGTGTTCCAGGGCCCCTTCAGTGTGGCGTCGATACCTGGGGACATGGTCGCCCGACGTCTCCCAGGCGTTTCCGCATTTTTTTGTTTTTGCGCGGGGGGAGGGCTTATTTCGCTTCGACTCGATCTCGATGGGTCCCGATTCCGCTGCGATTCGACTCGGGATTCCGATCTGGGCTCCGATATCTCACTGGAGGCCCACGAGCCTGCCAGTTTCCGCCGGTTCGACTTGTCCCGACTCGGCTGCCGATTCCCGGCGATTCAACCGATTTATTTCGATCGCCGATCCGTTTTGTCGATTCGATTCTGGGTTCTTGAATTCCGGAGGCCCCATCTGTGGACGCCCGACACGGATACGACAAGAAAGGTACAATTACCCACAACAAATGTTGTCCAAAACCAACAACGGCCGCTGTTGGGCAGGCCGCTTTGGGCCCTCAAAGGACAACGTCCGTGGCGGCGCGGCCGGCGAATCTGGTTGAAAATGATCAGTAAACGTTGTTGGGCGGGGGTTACTAAGGAGCATCCTGGATCATCTTGCGAAAAACAAGCACACGCACGAAACCGAAAAAAGACAGGAATGGACGTCCGAGCGATGGCCAGGCTGGGCGTCGTACCCATTCTTTCCGTACCCATTTCGACCGTCCCGACGATCGGACGCCGTCCAGGCCTTCTGAAGGTCGCCCCACAGCTCCAGGGCGGTCGTTTCGAGGCGGGCCCGGCCTGCGCAGAGGGCACCCCGCGCTGCAGGCAGGCATCCCCAGGGGCCCAGGACCCATCGGCTTCGACGCAGCTCTCAAGTCGGGCCTGCCTCTCCACAGGAGGCATACTGAAAAAAACAGTCAAGCAAGCAGTCAGAGGACGATGCTTTGACTGTTTTTGACTATGTTTGAACATTTGTTGATTTATGCTTTGTTTCTCGTCCAAGATCCGCCCGTAGGAGGACATGCCAAACCTGACACAACGACTCGGCAGGTCGCCAGCACGACGGGCTCCCCGAGACGGGCTCAGGAGCACAGCTTCCCCAGCTGTGGCTGGTCGGTGCGAGGAGGAGGAGGGAGGAGGAGGAGGAGAAGAGAGGAGGAGGAGGCGGAGGAGGCGGAGGAGGAGGAGGAGGAGGAATAGGAGGAGTGGGGAGGGGAGGAGGAGGAGTAGGAGGAGGAGGAGGAGAGGAGGAGGAGGAGGATGGGGAGGAGGAGGAGGAGGAGGAGGAGGAGGAGGAGAGAGGAGGAGGAAGGAGGAGGCGGGGAGGAGGAGGAGGAGGCGGAGGAGAGGGGAGAGGAGGAGGAGGAGGAGGAGGATGACGAGGAAAAGGCGGAGGAGGAGAGGAGATGCGAACGAGGAGGAGGGAGAGGAGGAGGAGGAGGAGGGAGGAGAGGAGGAGGAGGAGGGAGGAGGAGGAGGAGGAGAGGGAGGGGAGGGAGGAGGGGGGGGGAGGAGGGAGGAAGAGGGGAGGAGGGGGAGGAGGGGGAGGAGGAGGAGGAGGAGGAGGAGGAGGAGGAGGAGGAGGAGGAGGAGGAGGGGAGGGAGAAGACGAGGAGGGAGGAGGAGGAGGAGGACGATGAGGAGGACGTTGGAGGGAGGAGGAGGAGGAGGAGGAGGAA